CGATCGCGCCCGACCCAGTGGGCCCCGAAACCACCCTCTACAGGCGACAGCTTTACATGCTGGTCGGCCGCCAGAACCTCGTCGGCAAGGCCAGTGAGAATGGGCAGCAACATGAGCGGGCCGAAATGGCACCCTGGCAAAAGGGCCTCGAAGCCTCCAGAGGCCTGAGAACAACGCCCCCGAGGGAAAGGACACGCGGGGCCCGGAAAAGCCGGGAGGGGCCTCGATCAGCTGGCGAAGCGAAAGACCCCGTCAACACGGCAGTTTTAACGAGCTCATCGCGGCGAGCGTGCTCGAAGACCTTCCCAGGGACAAGTAAAATGAGCCCGCCGGTAATGCCGCGGAGGGCGCCCATTCTGCGCTGGCGGCCTGGGCCCAACCTGCCGTGGACTACCAGCGGGGCCGATCGTTCTCAGACTGCCATATCATAGTGATGGGGTGCCTGTGAAGGCCTCGAGTTCTAGCGAGGCTGCGAATAAAGGCGATCGGCCCTGAGCCCCCATCGCGCTCGCCGAAGAACCTTGGCCCAACGCCACGGACAGGGGCAGCGCTTCTCAACCGCACCAGAAGGTCGATGAGAGACAGCGAAGCCTCGTCTGACAAATTCAACATGCCGAAGGAAGAGAATCGAAATCGAAACCGGACTGTCCTGGAAAAAAACAGCAAAAGTAATTTGAACTGTTCAACGCCAGGCAAGTAGACTTCTGGCACCGCCCCAGCGGGCCAGGAAGCGGGAATCAGGCAGCGCCCCCACCTGCCACCAACCCGCCCACTCAGCCTCGAGAAGTTCCATCTCCTTCGCTGCGGTGGCTGGACGCGCAGCGCCGTGCACCTGAACGACGGAGCTGGCCGCCCACGGTTGAGCTGGCTCAGCGCAGGAGAATGGGCCGCGCCACCGTTGCAACTGCGAGCGACGCACCGCTGGCACCACACAATGAGATTGACCGACTCAGCGTGCTCCACAGACCGCCTAGCCACGCTGCCAGCGGAACGCGAGGCAACCCCAGCTAAATCATGAGACACCTCGCGCACAGGCGAGAACGAACGCAGCCGCGGAGAGGCGTCGGCCTCAGGAACTTTACTGACCTGGGGCATGGGCCCGAGGCGCCTAGCAAGACACAAAGCGCAAGCACGGAAAGGGGGCAGGCTGATCAAACCTCAATCCAACAAAGCACCGACCGGGAGCCGCAACCAAGTGGCTCCAGGGGGCACCCAGGGGGCGTGAACAGACAGCAGCCCCGGCGGCGACTCAAGGCAAAACAATCGCACTCAGCTCTGCCGAAGTACTCGAGCGAGCCGCGCCGTAAAGAATCGCGCGCGCCCGCGAGGTCGAGCCACGCGGTCTGAATTCACAACCTCCTTTGCGCATCCGCATTCAAGCGAGCGCCCTCGAATACGTCGCGGTCGCAGATCCAGCGCGGCACAGGACCACCGCGCAGGCAAACGGCGGGCCTGGCCGCATGCAGACGACGCGGCACCCGAACAGCAGGATGCCGCATTGAGCAGAAAGTCTGCACCCGGAGAACGAGTCGAACAGTAGAGCGCGGCGTCGTGGCCACGCCTGTCAGCGCCGCGAGCAAGATAGCGCCAACGACTCGACCCTTGGACTCGGAAGCATTCGCGCACGTCAGCACCGCGGGCGACAAGATGGAAGCACCCAGCGCCCTGGGCCACCCTGAATGATCCAACCTGACCGGCGAGAGGTTGACATTTTCTGGAAGGACAGGACGGACAAAACCCGCGCCTCCACCATTGCCGAGTATACGCAAATTCAAGGCGAGCGCCCTTCACTGCCGCGTGGATATATACTGGCCCGCAAGAAACCAACCTCAGCGACGCCCGTGGAACGTAACACCGAAGCCCTTCCTGGGACAAACGAACGCGATGCGTGCTCGACGTCTGGTAAGCCTACCTCATAAGGAACCGTTTGAATGAGCCACCCGCACGAACCTCCATTGCCCGTGGCCAGTGGCCACGAAGCTGGCCCTCCGCCCGATCTTGGACATCTGACTGTCCGATGCATGTACCTGATACCGCCGGCGACGATGCTCCTGAATTGCAGCTGCTTTGCCGCGCCAGCTTCGCGACTCTGGAGAAGCAGATCCAAGCCGACATGACCTGGCACGCAGCTTGCTTATATGGACCACGGCGCGTCAAAGTTCAGACGAGTCTGTAATGTCTTTGAACTTCTTCGAGGCAGCGACCTGCATCTGTCCAAAGATGCCCCGCGCGCGCTCGCGCTTGACACCGTGGATCCGCATGGGGCGTGGCCAACCACGCGGCGAGCTCCGCGTAAGCTGCATCAGCCCGCTGCTTGGCTGCAGCGGCGGCGGCCTCTCGCTGGGCCTCGCGCCGCTGCCCCGCCTGGGCACGCCGCTGAGCCGACAGCTGCTCGGTTCGCGCGGCTGCGGCGGCACGCTGATCAGCACCGCCTGCTACCGCCCCATTACCGCCATCTGCTGTCATGGCGACGTCGGCATTTGGCTTTGGAATGGCATCACGAAGAAGCTGAACAGGAGTAACCAGTTCCGGAAAAAAACGCACACGCTGATCCTGCCCGGGCGCCGATACAATCTCAACAAACTGGCGCTTGGGGAGCCTCCTTCGCCGACATGGCGGAATAGGCCTTGTCGGCCTGGGCCACCGCCTCCGGAACAACCGCTTGCGTCTGAGCCACATTCACCTTGCACTTCGCCGCGTGGGCGCACGCCGCGGGCGCCGCCTCCTGCGCCTTGTCAAAGGCCCTCTGGGCTTTGTCGCGCTTGTCCGCCAAGAGGTCCTGCTCTATCCTGGCCGCCTTGGCCCTAGCACTTGGCTCGCCGCGCAGCCTGTCACTCTGCGCCGCGATCCGCGCCACCAGCTCGGGCGCCCATCGGCACTGACTTCGTCGACTTCCTCCTCGGACGTGTTGGTCCATTCGCCATGGTCGCGCTCGACAGAGACGACCCTCTGCCTCGCACTTGCCGCCTTGCCACACAACCTGCAATTTTCACGCCAGTCATACTTGTAGTCGAATTGGCATCGCTTATGGCTACATTGCCAGACTGTGAAGTCTCCCCTCGCTGTTTGGGGGCTCTGCGCGAGACGACGGCACAATAATATCGAATGAGGGTAATGGTGTGCAACAAAAAACAAGCTGGAACCGCAACACGTTACACGGAACGCTGGCGGGGCCGCTGAACCCCAGTGCCACTCCTCAGGTCCTGAGCGTCCACCTACGGACCTGAGCCAAAATGGTTACCGATAAGATCGTCCTCTTCCTCCACTTCGTCCTTTTCCTCTTCCTCCTCCCCCTCCTCCTCCTCCCCTCCTTTCCTCTCCAGCAACCGAGCACCACTGCCACGACAGCCCCCCGGGGGTGCCACACCGGTGGAGGGCGATCCCCCACTTTCCAGGCGGCGCGGGCCGCGACGCCAAGACGAGGATAAAATGGACAGGCCGTAAAATTGTGGATGCCACGACAATGGACACTCTAACAATCCGATCATTGACTTGAACATGTGTTGAACATGTTTAAAACATGTTCTCAAATGTTGAATCGCCTGTTGTTCTACATGCTTAAACAATGTTTGAAACATGCTTTAGACATATGGAAGCTATGTGGCAGCGCGCTTCCTCTCAATTGATCGACTTCCACAACAGGAAAGCACCCCTGACCCTGTGGGAGGGGAGCTAGGTTAGGAGGGCTACAACTGTTAGGAGTATATGAAAAACCCGGCCACAAGAAGCCTTCCACAATAAACCCAACCCTGAGACCCCAAGACGTCCATGATCACATGACACGGAAGGTCGCTTAGCTCTGATTTTGGTGTGCAAGCGTCACGCTTTCCATATCAAAACCATCGAAACTGAAGAAACCCAGGGCACCCTGGAGGCAAGCAGGGTGTTTTTGTGGCGTGGGTCTCCGCTGTAGCCTTTTCTGATGATGGACCAAACCGAACCGCCCAGATGTATTATCCCTGCTGCAAAGACGGGGGTCTAAGTGAGGCCACGTCTTCACTGTGCTATTAGGGTCAGGGGTTCATTTCTCCTCGATGAAAGATCGGGCCAGGACCAAGAAAGCGGGAATCTTCAGAACACCGCGGCCTCCCCAAAGCGTTCCGGGACGCTCTGAAAGTTTTCGGGCACGATCTGGAACGAACGTTGGGTTGCAACGTTGGTCTGTTGCAGTAGAGGGGGTCATGAGGCAAACGTTGAAACACAGGTTCAGCCGATCTGTGCATTTCGCGGTCTGGCGAAAACGGGCGGCATCAACACGACGCAGAGGAACGTCGTGGACTCGAGCGCTTGGCCTGGGACGACGACACATCCGTTACGGACGTGTCCTCGTCCCAGCCCCGTCCGAGGTCTATCCCCCTGCTCTGGGCGCCTCGCCTGCCGATCCGTTCCTCGATGGGCTGGTGCGGGCAGAAGGGTCCAGAACGGGGCTGGACCTAAACGTTGTGTGTTCGTTATGCTTTCGTTCTGTCTTTCGCTTTGCTCCGCCCATTTTCCCGCACCCCCCTGCCAAAGTGAAAAACAAAAAACACAGCCGAAGGCCAGCAAAACAGCGTTTGGGTCCAGCGCCGGTCCAGAATCTCGACAGGGGAGCCTGGCCGCGGCCACGACAGGCCCCCAGGCGGCGCAAAACGCGCAACCAAACACAGCACGGAGCTTCAGTATCCGATTGCCGCGGCCTGCAGGGAGACGGATCCTTTGTGGAGATGGGTCCTGGACCGAGGCGTGTTTTGACTGCCCTGGAGCCTTGGGAGGGTCCCAAGGACCCGAAAGCTCGTAACGAAAGCTCCACGGCCGCTCTCTTCTCACGGCGAACTGTCGTCGTCTACGACGTCCCGCCGCGCGGAGGCGGAGGGAGAGGCGGAGGAGGGGCAGGTGGGGGAGGACGCGGAGTTTGATAGAAGGCGAAAGAAGAGAAGGAAGCAGGGAGGGAGGGGGCATTAGCAATAGTGAGGCGGGGGGGAGGATCGAACGTCGATCGCCAAAGGAGGGCGGAGGCCCTCCCGCAGCTCTGGCAGCCCGCCCGGGCTGCCGGCGGGCGGCTGCAGCGCCGCCAGGAGCTGGACGACCTCCTGAGCGGGCGGCGAAGCGGCGAAGCGGCGACGACAGTGGCGCCAGCCGTGCCGCGCCATCCGACGACGACGACGACGACGACGACGACGACGACGACGACGACGACGACGACGACGACGGCGACGGAAACGGTAACCGCGGCGGCGGCAAGCGGCTTAGGCGGACCCGATGCGGGGGTTGGCGAAGCCCCGCGGACGACGACGACGAAAGAATCGGTGGCGGCACCCAGTCACGTACAGCTTTCGATGTTCGAGGTTCGTTCCTTCGGCTTCGGCCCTATGGGCCGCTTCGGGCTCCAGGGTCTTCCGGAGAGTGGTCCGGGGCGGGAGACTGGAAGGACGGAGCTCGGTAGGGGTCCAGCGACCAAGTTTGAGGCGGCGAAAACATGACTTCCTCCTCCTCCTCCTCCTCCTTCTTCTTCTCCTCCTCCTCCTCCTCCTCCTCCTCCTCCTCCTCCTCCTCCTCCTCCTCCTCCTGCTCCCTGTCCTGGTCACCCGTCCATCTTCCGTCGAAGCCCCACCAGCTTCCTGGGAGTCAGTGGTTTGACGAGTTCGTGTGTTCCAACCTCCTTCTTCCCCTTCGGAAGGGGTGTACCCCTTCCCTCCCCCCCTCACCGGGGACACGATGGGGGGGGCCGCGAGGCGTTGAAGCGCCCAAGATGGCCAACGAGGGCTCTAAGAGGGCTCCAAGAGGGCCTCGGATAGCTCAAGATTCAGGATGGCATCCGAGATTGCTCAAAATAGCCGAACATATCTCAAGGCAGCCTCAATCTTTAGAAGGCCCCAAGAGCACAATGAGATGGCGCCAAGTGGCCACGAGTTTTCCAGTGTTGTTGATTCCCCGTTTTGCTTCCGATGGGCCTCTGAAACCAGAAGATGGCCCCGAGATCCCCCAAGAGAGCACTACAGGTCTCGGCATAAGGAACAACACGAAACTGAAGTCACGCAGCAGGAAACTTGCCCCCGCCCTCCAAAGTTGAAGCTAGCGCATCGGGGAGCACTGGTGGCGGGCCATTCGCCCAAGAGCCCAGTGCGCCCGTCGAGTCTGAAGGGGCGCTCGACAAAGAAGGCCCAATGCGCCTTTGAACTTCGAAGGGGCTTCTCAAAGGTGCCTTGTCGCCTAGAGCCAGCCGGCGGCGTCGCTTCATTGCGACGAGAGCTGTCAGATGTGCCGAGGCAAGGCGCAAGACGGCCCAAAGAACGCTCCAAAGCCGTCCCAAGAGGTTTCTGCGAGGCGACTTGCGGTGCTGCAGAGGGGCAATGCAAATTGGCACCGCTCCCTGTTTTCCACACTGAATATTCATAGACAACCATGCACGTTTGAAAGACACTGGCCCAATAGGAGACTTCTGGGCCCAGATGGCTCCAAGAGGGCCCCAGATAGTGAGGCAGTGCCACCAAGATGGCTCAAGATGTTCCGAGCTGGCTGAAGATGGCGTCCAGCACGCCTGCCTCCAAGAGGCCCCAGGGTGGCTCCCAGTGGCCACAGAGACCCCGAGGACGTCCCCAAGAGGACTCACATGTGCCGTTGATTCTCGCCGATTTGCGCCCAATAGGCCCCTGAAGCCTCAAGAGGGCCCCGTAATCGCCGAGGAGGGGCCCAAAAGAGGCCCAGGACGGCCCCAAGAGGGCCCAAAAAGGGCCCCAAAGGCGACCTGTTGCGCTCCCCAACAGCAATGCTAGGTGGTACAAGGTAGCCCCAAAACACACTCAAGGGCCAAAACTGGACCCAAGACTACCCAAATTGCTCCCAAAAGGGGCCCTTGCCTGACGAGGGCTCCAACATGGCCCCGAGAGGCCCTAAGAGTTCTGTAAGTTCACTGGTGTCGACCTCTGTTTCACTGGGTTGTTATGTGATGGTCTTCTCCCGACAGCTCGCCTGGGTATCGTTTCAGGATGGGCTGGAGAATTCGGAGGGAGAGGTCGGGAGGCGAAGTGCGGGAGGCAAGATAGGAGGGTAAGGGGGAACGGGAAGAGCATGGAGTAGGTATTGACTTGCCTTAGTATTCATGTCCGAGAAGAAAAAATCAAGCAAAGGCAATCGCATAGTATGGAAGAGAAACGAGCACGCGGGCAGTAATGCACTGGAGACGAAACACGCCTGCAAGAAGACCATCCAGACCAGACAAGGCCCCGGCATGCGACAATAATTGGGATGCTTCCCTGATGTACCTGCTCATACTGTTGGTCATCGCCGCGAGTGCTCGCTGCTTGGGCGGACTTCAAGTCGAGATGGTTGACGCTGTTCATCTGGTGTCTGTTGTGGAACCCTCGCTTCCCCCCTGCAAGACAGTGCTTGCGCTCCCCTTTCTGGTAAGTATCGAACCGCTCCTGAAAGTCACATGTCAACGTACCACCGTGTGGCAACCTCTGTCAAAACTTGCCTCACGCGAGTGGCGAGAGCAAAAGTCCAGCGTGCGACGGCACTGCGCCTTATGCAGAAAAGCCTCTCGGCGCGAGTGCGCCTCGGAGGCCTCTGCATGGAGGCCGAGGGCGGAGCAGGGAGATGTGAGGGAGAGGGGGAGGAGTGGGGGAGAGGAGGGGCGGGGCGGGGGAGATGAGGAGGCGAGAGGGGCAGGCAAGCCAGGCGCGCGAGCGCCATATTCGTGGCGATGCTGCTGCTTTGTTGATCCGCCGACGGAGCCCTAGCGGACCTGGATCCCCAGAGTGACACCCCCCACCGTACATGGGACGAGGGGGAGGAGGCGGATGAGCAGGAGAATGAGAACGAGGAAGAGAAATGCGAGGAAGCATCAGGGAGAGGAGGAGCAGCAGCAACTGTACGAGCGGGAGCAGGAGGACCAGGGGAAGGCGGAGGAGGGGAAGGAGGGGGGCGACTACGACGTGGAGGGCATCGGATCTAGAAATGTAGCACGCGAGACCGCGATCATGTTTAACAACGGAAGCACGGGCGCTGGCGGGACTAAAATTCGTGGGGCCTGGCTCCGCCCCTCCAACGCGATCAACAAACCAGAACTGCCGTCACCCGAAGAAACATCAGCTGCGACAGATTTGGTTTAGTGATGTGGTCAATGCTCTGGGCCTCGGGACCCAAGCATCAGGAGCGCCCCGGATCGGCGGTACTGCCCAGAGGCTACAAGAAGCGCCCCTTGCGGGGCAAAACAGTATAGTGCTTCAATGTCTGAAGCCCTGTGCGCTAAAGAAAACAAACACGAAAGAAAAGGTCCCTCTCGCACAGGATCTGGAGAGGTTGTTGATGGGGGAGGGCGCCGAGCGCAGGGAGGAAGGGGGAAGAGGAGGGGCGAGGTGGGAGGGGAGAGGGAAGGAGAGGGGGGAGAGCGATGTGCGGAGGGGCTCATGTCTCTTAGAGGCCACCTAGATGGGGTCCGAGTGGACGGGGTCGGAGGATCGCGACGCATCGCTGATGCATCAGCAACTTCGGCGTGGAGACAATTGGGCTCCACACCGAGGCGCATCGCCAACGCATCGGCGATGCGGCGCGACCCTCCGACCCCACCTACTCGGACACCGTCCAGGGGGCCTAGATTTCTTCGAATGATCGATCGATCTCCTCTCGTCCTCTCGTCTCCTCTCCTCCCGCCCTTGGGAGGCCGAGATCTCCTCTCGTCCTCGCAGTGAGGGCGCCGAGGCGGGAGGGGAAGGAGACGAAGGACCTATGAAAGGCGAGCGGCGAGACCCTCCGCGCGCGAATCTGCGTCTGGCCGGAGCGGCCGCGCGCAGACTCAGCATGTGACCGCCCTCGGGCTCCCCTACACAGGGCTGGACCTAAACGTTGTTTTTCGTATTGTTTTCGTTTTGTTGTTCGTTCTGCTCTACCTGTTTTCCTGTACCTCCCTGCCAAGACGAAAAACAAAGCACAGCCGAAGTCCAGCAAAACAGCGTTTAGGTCCAGCCCTGCTTCTAAAGAGGTACCAGTACCGCCAAAAGTCCCAGGACCGCAAAACAAAAACGCAGCCTCGTATCTATCAGAGGGGCGTACAGTGGAGGCCAATCCAAAAGAAACCTTCCAAAAGGAACCCAACCCTGAGACCCCAAGACGTCCGTCGATTTTGGTGTGGGAACGTCACCCTCTCCATCGCAAGATCATCGAAACCCAAGAAACCCAGGGCATCCTGGAGGCAAGCAGGGTGTTTCTTGGCATGTGCCCCCACTGTGCCGCCAAAGCCCCAGGACCGCCAAACAGAAACGCAGCCTCGTCTCTATTAGGGGGGTGCAAAGGCCGAAACCGTGCCCGAAAGTCTGCCCTACTATGGCCGGAGAACGGCGCCCGAGTGTCCCCGAACAAGTCAGAGTGTGACCGAAAGTCTTCGGTTCGAATCCAAAGCGATTCCCAATCTCGGTCACAGGTTCGGTCACATTACGTCTTCGGTTACGTATTCTGGCACGTGCTCGGTCACCAGATTTTTACGACTATGTACATGTTCGGCTGATGGGGGCCAGACGCCGTGACAAAAAAACGATTCGTCGGCTGCATGCAAGAGTGATCCGTAGAAAGCAGCTCACGGCTGTTGGACGACCCCATGGCGCCCAATAGCGCGTCCAACAGCGCCCAATAGCGCGCAAGGCATCTCGCTCACATCGCGCTATTGGGCGCTATTCGGGAACTATTCGGCGCTATTGGGAGCTGTTCGGCGCTATTGGGCGCGGTGCGCGCGCTATTGGGCACAAGTCGCTGATATACGTTCACTGCAAGGCGAGCGGAAGCTCCAATGCCTTAGTATCGAATGATCCCAAACAAAACGACCCATGGTGGGTGGTCTGCCGATGGCTGCATGCGATCACACTAATTAAGTGTAGCGCCCCGCGCTCCTGGGTTTGACCTCCCCCGCGCCCCCCGAAACCCGCGCACCAAGTCACTCCAGCGCAGCGCGCTGTCCGTGCAGCTGAGGCTTGGGACGAGGGAGCGGGTCCTGCAGGTGGCGACGCCCGAACTCCACCCCCGCCAACCATCGACTCTCCCACCTGCTCGAAACAGGCGCCAAAAACCGCCAAGATCTACTCCACGAAGGGGGGGGGGAAGGGGGGCGGGGTGCGAGGGCCCGCGCCGACCGGCAGAACCGTGACTCAAAGAACGATCCCTCGCTCGGCGAGGGCAGGGCCCGGATCTCGCCGCCGCTCCCGGGGAGGGCCCCGCGGCCCAGGACGCCACGGCGGCACGCGGTGGCGAGCGCGACGGCAGCAGCTGTACGGAGCGCAGAGGTGGCGGCGCGTCGGCACGCGGCGGCGGCGGCGACCGCGCGCGTTCGCGGGGCGGTCGGCGGCAGCAGCGCAAGCGGCGCCAGGAACGCGCGGACCCGGGCCAGAAGTAAGTCGGGCATGTCCCTCTACGGGACGATGTTTGGTGTATGGTGGTAAATTGTTTGATTAATGTTTGACTAATTTGCATTTTTCCCTCAAAATCCGCCTGCAGGAGGACACGCCCGACCTAAGGCCAGCGCTGACCCACAGCCCTCCGCGAGACTAACGCAAGTTTTGCCGACCCACCCGCGCCCCCAACGTCAATGTTCAGCTGCGCGCGCGGCGCGGTGCGCGGGCGCCGTCGGAAAGCTTGAAGTCGCGTGCTTCGGCATAAACATTCGTTGAGAGTTGGGGGTCTGGGGGCGCCGACGCGGCGCAGGAACACTTGCGCTAAGCTTCGCATAGGGGTGCAGGCCAGCCGGGGCCATGTCGCGGGCCCGCACCGGCCGCGCAGGGGCTGCCAGGCCCGGTGGGGCGGATCGGCCTCGCCTGGCGCCCCAAACCTGGGGCCGGCCAGAGGGGGATCGGGGAGGGCCCGCGGACCCCCCCGTCGGCACCGAACCCTGCTTCTTGGGCACCCGAGCTATCTGGGAGAGACCTGGGTAGGGCCCTGCTTGGTATCCCCAAACGTGATGAGGGAAAACCCTGGAACCGCTTGATCTGGGGTAGCTCAACACCTGTTTCGGGAGGGCACTGTCGTCCACGTGGGGCAGACTGTGATCCGGGGTCCGGCAAGACTCGGGCGGAGTGCAGTCTGAGGAAACTCCGGCGCGAAAACGGGAGACCCGACTCAATACTTATCCCTGACCACCCCCTGCCCTGACATCGCGGAACTCTGAGCTTCGGCGTCCCCGCTCGCGCAGCTCTTCCTCGACGCCGTCACGATTGTGCGGCGCGCGCGCGGCGCGCGGCAACCAGCGGCGCATCGCTCGGGGCCCCAAACTGGGTGGTGGCGGACCGCGTGGTGACCTCGGAAATCTCCAACGACCTCGCCGCGGGGTCCGTCACCGCACGGTCTCGGGACCTCAGATGCCCCGGTCGCTCGAGACATCCTCGGAGAAAGGCTCAAGGCCCAAAACCGAGTGGTGACCCCGAATCCCCACTGACTCATCACGCGGCGTGGTCACCACACCATTAGGGCCCCCTCGATAGCGGAACCCCCCGCGGCTGCGTCCAGGATCTCCGGGTCGGCCCCACCCACCCCTGAGGGTTTTTCGGATCATAGCTCGGCTCTCTGGCGGCCGTTCGGGACGGTTCTGGCACCCCCAGGACGCCCGAGGCGAGGCGCAGCTGCTGGAAAGCATCCCGAGGCTGGAAAACCGCCAAGAACCAACCAACACGCCCGAACCCGTCGAGCCTAGATTGTCGGGGGGGCCCCCAGACGGTGTGGCCACCACACTGCCAAAGGCGCCCCCCGAGCATCAGTGCGCCGCCGCGGCCGCAGCGCCGGCGCAGCAGCCCGCCGCGGTCGTCGGGGGCGCGCTGCGCTCCAGCCTGGCGGCGGCGGCGGTGCGCGGGGGGCGCGGGCTCTCTGTCGGCCCTCCAGTCCTGGCCGCGCGTGTGGGCCCTGGCTCTGCTGCTGAGGCTCATCGTCCTCCCGGTGTTCGTCGTCCACGGCCTCCCTCACGGCCGTCCTCGCTCCCTTCCGCCTGCTCCCCCTCGCTGTGCCCTCCTGTGCTTCCTCCTCCCCGTCCTCCTCCTCCTCCTCCTCCTCCTCCTCCTCCTCCTCCTCCTCCTCCTCCTCCTCCTCCTCCTCCTCCTCCTCCCCCTCCCTCCTCCTACTCCTCCTCCTCCTCCTCCTCCTCCTCCTCCGCCTCCTCCTCCGCCTCCTCCTCCTCCTCGTTCTCTTTGGTCCTCCTTGCCGCCTACCCTTCTCCTTTCAGGTTACGACCGCCTCAGTCCCTTCCCCCTCGCAGCCGCAGTCGGCATCGGCCACGTCGTCTTCCTCCTCCTCCTCCTCCTCCTCCTCCTCCTCCTCCTTACAGTCAACGCGCTGCGACAAGGAACGCTTAAAGAAGGAACGATGCCCCTTTTAGGCACCAAGAGCGTATGGGTGCACGTGGAGGGCTGGAGGAAAAAGCACGGCCTGACCTAAGGAACAGCGAGCCTAGTCCGAACCCGAAGCGGTCCTTCTTTCAGTGACTTGACTGTATCCCCCTCCCTCCTCCTCCTCCTCCTCCTCCTTTTCCTTCTCCTCCTCCGATTTCTCCTCCAAGTCACACTTCCTCCCGATGGCTTGGGCAGTGCGAATGTTTCCGGTATCATGTCTGGTCGCTGTAAGAAAAAACGCCCCAGATCTTGTTGTGCACTTCACATGTTCTGACCAATTGCTGTCTCAAAATGATGCTTCAAAAACTGAAAGCGAAATGGCTGCAAAACAATTCCACTCCGTTTTGAACACACGCCACCTTCAACACGCAGTGGGATGATTTTCAGATCGTTCCTTTTTACCCTCCTCCTCCTCCTCCTCCTCCTTCTCCTCCTCCTCCTCCTCCTCCACCTCCGCCTCCGCCTCGGCCTCCTCCTCATCCCTCTCCTCCTCCCCCCCCCTCCTCCTCCTCCTCCTCCTCCTCCTCCTCCTCCTCCTCCTCCTCCTCCTCCTCCTCCTCCTGGGGGGACAAGAAGATACCGATACCGCTGCTCCACGGACCTCCCTCAAGGTGCGTTCTTACCAAGAAAATAGCCGTGGCGACGAGGGCACTCCAAGACGAGCCGAGCAGCGGCATTGCTACGGATCCCCTGAACCCAAGTAGGAAGATATGGTTCCCAATATCCTACATATATGGGATTTGAATATCAGTGTGTCCATACTCCCGCCTGCTCCCTTCCACATTCAGACTAAACTCATACTCAGAATCCGTGGAGCTCAGACCTATTCACACTCAGACTCAGACCCACTGACAGACTCTATCATACCCAGACTCACTCACACTCAGACTCACGCACACTCAGATTGCCCACGCTCATATCAATCCCACACATACGCACTCATATTCACTGGTACTCGGACCCACACTTACTGAGAACAATCAACTCGTACTCAGCTTAATCATACTCAGGCTCATACACACAGACCACTCAAACTCTGATCAGTCACGCAATGGCTCACTCATATTCAGACTCACTGTCAGATTTGCACGCAGTTTGTCATTCATTCCTAGACCCACTAGGAATCGCTCTGCACACTCAGCATCGAGCATCACTGCGTGGCAGGCATCGTACTGCAACAAACCATGGAGGAGCCGCAAGGGGGTACGACATTTGCCCGTCCGCGCCCAGATTGCGGGGATGTCTAGAGCGAGGCGCCCGATCTGTCCCTTCGACCCCCTTCTTTTGAGAGCTTCGTGGCCAGATTGAAATAGCAAGCGTGGTACTTGATCCTCCCACGGAGGAGCCGCCAGGGATACGACATTTGCCAGTTCCCGCTCAGATGGTGGGGATGTCTCGAGCGAAGCGCTCGGCTTGCCCCTCCAACTCCTCTCGTATGAGAGCTTCCTGGTCACCTCGACAACGCAGGCCTGATATCTGGAACCCCCATGAAGAGCCGCCAGGGGGTAGGACAGTTGCCCGTTCGCGATCATATTGCAGAGATGAATTAATCGAGGCACGTGTTTGCCCCTTTGGATCCTCTCTATTGAGAGCTTCATGACCACATTGGCATAACAGGCGCACCCCAAGTAGAACCACCGAGAGAGAGAGAGAGCAAGCAAGAGATTGAGGAAGAGGGAGAGAGCGAGAGAGAGAGAGAGAGAGACAGAGTGAAGAGAGAGTCGAGGGGGAGAGAGAGAGAGAGAGGGAGAGTAGAGGGTAAAGGGTATACATTGACTAACAGAGACCTTGGCGAGTTGAGGGGGTTGAGAGAGTCTGTCGATCCATAGTGTGACTTCTGAAAAGCTACAGCCCAAGCTTCAGCTCTGCTGGGGTGCGGCGGGGAGGGCTCTGCCGGGAAAGGGGGGTGGGTGGGGCCAGCCGGGGAAAGGGAGAATGGTGGAGAGCGGCAACGCCGCCGAGGCCACCAAGACGGCCCAAAATAGCTCCGACACGCCAAAGATGGCCCCAATACGGACCAAGAGACCCCGAAGAGACGCCAAGAGCCAACAACCATGGATTTCCTCCAGGTTTGTGCATGTTTTTGAAGATCTCGCCTTTTCGGGCCTCCAACGCTCCAAGACGGCCCAAGAGGGCCTAGAAACGGCCCAAGAGGCGCCCAAGACGGCCCATGCGGGACCCAGGACGGCCACAAGAGGGGAAACATGAACCGACGATTCGAGCCTTCCGCCCAATAGAGGCCCCCAGGAAGCCCCGAGATGCCCGCGAGAGGCCCCCGATAGGCCACAAGAGGTTCCTTGGAGGTCTTACAGAGGCTCCCAAATGGCCCCAAGAGGCTTCTCAACTGCCTCCAAAGAAGGCCCCGAGAAGTTATCCCACGAGATCCCAACGAACCTCCAAAAAGCCTCGGACGCACAACCCAGGCACGGTGGCGGGATGCCGAAGGCTACCAGACAAGAGAGGCTAGAAATGACAAGAAATAATCGTAGACCATTCTTGCTACGACCCGCCCAAGGACCCACCAACGAGCCAACCCGTCCGGGAACTCGCAGACCAACAAACTCGACCGGCGGACACGACGCAAACATTCCATTCGACACGTACTCCATAAGGCGACTGCCACAAGCCTCCTCGCCCTCCTCTACCTCCTCCTGCTCCCCCTCCTCCTCCTCCTCCTCACTCCTCGTCCTCCCTCCTGCGTCCTCGAGATGAAGCTCCTCAACTATAAAACAGGACGAGCGAGCACGGGGCGTCCCAGATCGGCGGCACAGGCTGGAGGCCTCTACAATAAACATAGTAGACGGGAAGAGAGGGATGGGGAAAGAGAGAGAGAGAGAGACACGGAGTAGACATATAATTATAGACATATAGTTACATAGGCGCATTGATATATGCAGATACATCTAAATTTTATGAATGACGCGCGCGCTGTTCGCGCGCATAGGTTCTAGCAAGCTCTAGATGTGCTCTAAAGTGCTCGGTACCCGAGGACATCTATTATATCACGGGTCGTGCGCCTCAAGGAGCTCCACCTGCGGCCCCAGAGACAGGCTTGGCTAGCATTCCCCCGCCCTTGTCGGCACACCCCTCGCAGGGATCGCGCCACACAGGGATCTCCACCCACGTCCCCAAAGACAAGGTTCGCATAGTTGCACGCCCCGCCGCGGCTCGAGCCCCGCAAATAGCTGCATTTGCGGCCGCAGAGTGAAGCTTCAAAGCGCCGCCCCGCTCACTTCGGCACACCTCTCACACAGGTGGTGGCCCGCGAGGAATTCCACGGACGGCCCCAGAGACAAGGTTCGCATCCCGCCCTCCCGTCTACTTCGGCACACCTCTCACATGGATCGTGGCCCACAAAGATCTCCACATACTGCCCCAGAGGCCAGGTTCGCACTGCACCCCCCCTGGCCAATACAGCACACCCATCACGCGGATCGTGCCCACAAGGAGCGCC